ATGGGTACTTCAGAAATGTAGGGAGCATCAATATTTTAAAGATCTCCAAGCAGTTTTTCCAAACAAAACTTCCACAAACAAAACATTGCATGAGTGACAAAACCTGTAATAGGACTCAAAAAGGAGCTGTCTTTCAAATTTTTTTTTCAAACGATTGTAGCATTGTTCAAATTCTGAGACAAATTGCTTACAAAGATGAGGACATACAACATTAGAAACCAAGACTGGTATTAAAAAGCAGCCTTAATTATTGCTCGGAGAAGCCGGTGATATGTTTTTATGGGTAGATAATGCTGATACTGTGGGTGTGCATATAAATGTCACCGGCGATGTGGGTTTTAAAGTCACATGGGACAATATGACTTGTTATGGGGCCAAATGAAGTGACAGTTAATATTGGAAGTGTTACTCTTAATGGAGCACACTGATGTACTTCGGCAATGGTATAGAAGTGCTACAAAACAAGATTCCCAAGATGGAATTTTATTGCAGCAAGACTTTGTCACTCATAAATGACAAATCAATTTATATTAGGAATACAGCAAAATTAATGATCTTCTCCTATGAGGGAGTCCGTCATCAAAAGCAGAATGATGAATGTGCTTTTGTGATACCTAAAATAACTTCAGACCTTTTCTGTCAATAGAGGAAAGGAGAGGTTTCTTGAAGGGAATTACAGCTTTATAATCTTGGTTTTAGTGTATCCCAATGGACTTTTAAACAGGCTGTTAATGTATTGACTTTTTCAAATTTTCCTGAAAGCAAAGGACCAGTACGAGAAAAGGTATATGTGTACTATATGACTGGGAATTGAAGTTTGCTATGAGCATGACTTTCTAGGCAATGCCCTATGGAATTGAGTAGGAAAGCAAAAACAGTTAGTATTCAGGAAAAGGGACCCCGAGTGACTTGATATTGCAGAATGGTGTGTTTTAGGAGTTTTACAAGCCCACACCTTCATTGTAAGATGCTGCAATGTGAAGCAGCAACACAAAGACAGAAGGGAGGACACTTCATAAAAGACAAGGAATGACTGTGTCTGTCTGCTGTGGGATCTTTATCGAGGGGTTCTCTGACACAGCAGAAGTTGGGATGGCATTGTGACAGTCGTCATTATCTGGCAGATCCCCGGTGGTTGCCGGCACAAAGTGACTATTGTCCTAGGTGGGCCACCATCTCCGAAAGCCAGGAATAATGAGTCTCGTGCCCTGGAGGGGGTTCGCTTCGATGGCGCCACCAAATGAGGGGTCTCGCGGGGATCCCCTGGTTGACACAAAGACAATTTTATGCTCGGTGTGGTTTGGGCTGGTTTGCGGGAGGTTGGAGATGAAGGGAGGTGTGGCGGGCTCTGTGATGAAGAGACACAACACGCAGGTCTGGAGATAGCCGCCCAGATAAACGCTCCCGCTCCCACAGAAACAGTTGTCTCCCCTTTATCCATTATCCCTGTGATATTGACATTGGGTCCCCATCAAAAACTGACACTCAAAACGTTCACCAATTTTCCATATAGTTTCCTTCGACCTGCCTATTTATAAAGCCAATAAAGAGGACAGAAAGGCCAACCAACTATTTTGAAGAAGAAAAAAAATGCGGCACTCAGATTCATTTGCAAAACAAATAAGCAATAATAAAGTGAAAAATAACTGCGGCTTATCTTCAAGATCAGGAAAGCGCCGGAAGGTGTTTCCGATCCTTGGGACTTGGGCTTAGCCTCTGTAGATTACAGCCCTGCCAATTTAAAGATGCCTTGCATGAATACTTAATGAAGGGCTTTCATCAGCAGAATAATGGCAAAAACTGCAAAACTGTGCATAAATCAGTGCAGAGGAATGTTCGGAAGTGTTGCGCTGGCGTAACACCTGTTTGTGGAAACCTCAGTACTTAGACTGATAAGGAGAGGGCCACCTGGAAATTCTGCCTCCATTTTCTGCCAATTAGATCAAAGGGTTGCAGCCTTGTCTGGGCAGTGAGGTACTCAATTTTCTGATAAAGGCAGAAGATGAGATGGAATAGACCAGTTCCGTAGACTAACACCAGTGCGATGTTGTCAGACAACACACAACAACCATCACAGTCTGAGGTTAGTTAGACATGTAACCTTGGGAACACGAAGCCATATCAGACAAAAGGAGACTGAACACGTAATTAAGATTGGAACTTTGATAGGATGCACCAAACACATTGTCTCTTCCCATGATTAGGAGATAACATTTTTCTTGTGTCAAAAGATAATGAAGTAACTGTAGTTGTTAACTGATGAGATATGGATGTGCAGTGGTTATCAAAAAACTATTTCACATAATGTAGAAAAGTGGACCTAGTGTTAACAAAAGCATACTGAAGAAAAATGTTACTTGAGCAACGAGATCGACTTTCAAAATCTAGAACAGTTTTCTTCGGTATCTCATTACCTGGATGTCTAACCTTCATCTACATATATAATGCCTATACAGCAACTTTAAATCCTCCAAAAGCGGTGTTGAAAGTATGATAAGTATAATTAATGATTATCTATTGAAAGACGAGGAAGAGAGATGGGTCTTTTTCCTTTGGTACACGATGTGTGACTCTAATTGATCCACCGTGATAAAATAGCATTGATTATAACACAGAAATGAAAATTGATAGGTATACAACCATTTTAATTTTAGCATATACTCTCAAGGAGGTACAGAGTTCGATAATGTGAGATGAATACTTAGCAGTCAGAACTGGCTGAGAAGTTACCTTGCGTACCTCCCTGGAGAATTAGATGATGTATGATATCAGTACGAAAGGAAGGAAGAAGGTATCAGATATGAATGTCTCAGATAAGGATGTTGTTAGGTGGTTCTAATTCTTGGAGACTGTATTTCCTGCGATGATTATAGGGCTCTTATATTATCCCAATGGCCCCAGGCCACAAGGCATAAGGGACTTTAATGTAAGTCTTATCAGATAATGCAAAGGAATTGTCTGGTACAGAAGATGAAGCCCATATATCGTGTGTGATGTGACCATTACTTGTACTACCATAGAAGTGGGAGCCACCCTTGTAGATTGAGTGAATTAGTCATTTCTGCTGCGTTCAATTCAAATTTCCTATTTTTACAGTTTCTCAAATTTTAGCCTGTGTAAAAATTGTTTATCAGTGCCCCCCCCCCCAAAAAAACAAATGCTGCCACTCCAAGAAATCTGCAAAGGAGGCTACACACCTCCACAAAAGCATATACAAGGGTATACTTAAATGATTTCAAGACTATTGGTAACACTAGGTATAGACATGTATTATACTGAAAAAATCTTAGGGGTAGATTGTACAAAATGTATATTCCTATATCTCAGATATACATGTACCCTTTCCCTGCTGCCTAACCCCCTAACCATTACTAATTTGGTGCCAAACAGCTACCTCAGCATGCTGAAGGTTAAACTAGACCTACAGCAGAAGTCTTAACTGGTCTGAAGTGTTAGAGGATTACTTGGACTTGACCTCCCATACTGAGGATAAAGTGACTTAACTAACGTATCCCTAAGAAAACAGTTGAAAGCCTTTAAGAAATGATCCAAACCTTGATTGTGGGAGTCACGTCTACTTAAGTCCTCTACTATATTGTCTATTAAGATGAAAATGATTATATAGAGACTTTGATGTCATACAACTCAAGAATGAACGATGTACTTTCAAAGACAGATCTACATTGTAATTGTGAACACAGGGGATGTGAGTAAAGTAATGGGGATATGAGTTGAGTCGTAGTTGGAAATACATGTATACAGGATAAGAAAAGATCTTATTAAGATAAAACTTGTTTCAGTCATTTAAGCAGTCTTTGTGCTCCAATGATTAGAGCATCCTTCAATGTGTCCTTAGCAAAGAATCATCAGGACATTGTCTTTAGACAAATCATTCCTAGAAATCCCCACATCCTATTCTGGCCTACAGATGTTGAACTATTCTCCAGGCAGAGGTTTAGTCTTTTACTAATTTTGACATACTTTTAATCAGTTTTTTCCGATTTCCTTTTTCTGTACCGTATCTTGGATACTGCCCTTCCAACTTGATACTGTCTTGTGCCCACCAAAAGACCTGTTTGGAGAGTAATATTGAACCAGGGTAATTTCCAGCGGCTGTCTTGACCGCAAATGTGATCCTCAGTGTTGGACAGGAGAAAAGAGTCCTGCAGCAATAATCCTGGGCACCAGGAAAGTGTCACCTGTGGACACCACGGGTCAGGACACAAGATGGTAGGCACTGACCCATGGCAGACTGGGGCCAACCCAAACTATCACAGACGAGAAGTCATTTCTTTGTACCCCGTCTTGGCAGCTAATCTTTCTATTGTGGGATGGCAGGAGCGATAGGGGCTAATAATAACTAAATGTGATGTCAGATTGTGTCTCCATTCTGTTTCAAGGGAATCAAGAAAGATGTCTGACTCAATACTTGTCATATTGCTTATTTAGTATTTGATCCTTCCCTAGATATGATTCAAGTGTGCTCATTGTTGATGGTTTGAGGTTATTTTTTTTTGTCAGGAAGCTAGATTTTTTGTGTCTTTTGATACTATACTTATGATCAAGTGTGAAAAATCTTAACTTGACAGTACATGACATTGTATATTTTGTAACTACTTACAGTGGATTTGCTTTTAAGATGTGCCCCTGCGATTCAGACAGTAATGAAGAATAAATCAAGATCTGAAGTGGATCCTCTGAGCAAAATTATTCTAGACATATTTCATACTTGTTCAAAAGCTTCGCTAGAAAATGAGCCCAACACACTTGATGATAGGAGTAGAGGTGACCTGGTGAAGCTTCTTTGCACCATTAACCAATCAAAGAAGCATCATGCTTCACTTTCAGCTAAAAGGGCCCAATACGGTAGGGGTGACCAGTGTGCTTGTCTGAAAACACGAGTTGCTATAAAGCTGCATTGCACTTTTAACCAATTGAAAAAGTATGCTTCATCTCAGTAGACAATGACTATTTTACCGTTTTGTATTTTGTTCAGGCCCAGTCTGGGAAGTTCCAGCGGAGCAGGTACTACCGTGACATCAGCCACTCCAGGGTACGCTGCAGGAACTGTGACAGGGTCGGACACTTGTCCAAAGTCTGCCCCGAACCACCCGTACGTATAGTAAATACTTCCAATTTCAGCATTGTATTATTCTTACCTTTGCCAAGAAGGTTTTGCTTTTACATGTTGTAGTGGTGTTCATGTGTCTGTCTGACAGCTCAACACAATAATTTGAGAAGGTTCAGATGCATTGCCTGGATATTCAGCATGTGGGTAGGTCTTGATGAGGCCTCAAAATGACTTTATTTTTGTCCCCTAGGGCCTTGTGATGGTGCTGCAGCAGGACTTATGGTTTTAATATTTGTTGTTCTGGACATGCTGTGGTCATGATTTGAGGGTGGTACAAAATGTAGATAGATAGCTATTGTGCTGAGGAAGAAATGCCATAAAATGGGCCCCCTATAAGCTTGTTCTGGAACTTTTCAACTGCAGGCTATTGAAACAGAGATGGGCACTGCCCTATGCACCATGTGTGTACGCAGTTGATTTTTTACGGAAAGTTTTGCGCCGGGTTTGCAGGCCACCATCTTTAAATCAGTCCATATTTGTGAGGTAAGTGAGCCACCTGTCTCCACCAAGAACCCACAGTACTCCCACGGGAGTCCCTTCTCCTTCCCCTGTTAGATGACATAATGAATATATCAGATTTGTATGATAGCATAATGAATACGGAAGATTGTATTGAGTCATGGTCTGTGGGTATTATCGAACAGAAGGCACTCCCGATAATTCTATATTAGTGGGAAATCAATTTCTGGGAGATGGTGATTTCCTCGTATTTTATATAGGTGGCATAATTCATGCTGTGGCAACACGACTATAAAACTTGGCAGGGACACTCCCACCGCTGCTGACTTCATAAAATCGCAGTTATAGGGAGAACTGCAAGACCAGGAACCAATGGCCCATGTGGTCCGAAAAGATTTTCAAGTACAGGGTATTACTGTGTGTCGTAGACATGTCACGCAGAATGTGTACCCCTCACTTTTTTTGAGAACATTTTCTGTATGACAAAACATGGTAAACTTTGTGGTCATAGTTTTGAGTGTGACAAGTTTGCCACGTAAAACACTGCAGACAAATTTTTATGATGAATCATTAATAGTGTGGTCTGTATTTTTATTATAAATTGTAGGTTTGATGTGACCGTGTGGCTATGTACCAATCATATGAAAGATTGGCAGAGAATGTCTATAAACTTCCATCAAGTTTGATTTCTTGATTTTGTGGTCATCAGCAAATGCTGAGGCAGATCTCTGTATGTTTTGCCTTCTCTCATAGTGAAAAGGAATAAAGAATATTAATTTACCTTTTGTATAAGGATAAGGGAGACCATTCAAACAAGGAGGTTAAAAAAGGGCCTCATTGGTTCATACCACAAACAGTTGGGAGGTCACATGACCTGCATGACCTTTGACCCCACACACCTGCTCTGTTTATTATAGTTATCACCTAATCTACTGGAACTCGTAGATGAGTTTGCTTGGTTTAAATAATAACTGTCATGTGTGTGATCTTGTTTGAGGTGGCACATATTACTTAACATGTACTTCACACACAACACAAGTAGGGAATAGTCATAGAGACTCCAAGAGGGAATCGTGTATAAGAGTGTGGGGTTTGAAAGTGGAACAGTTAAAAGATCTCTATACAAGGTTAATGATGCATCTCATTATGTGTGATATAATCCATACAATTCCTCCCCCATGTCGTTAACAGGTGTCCTCGAGCAGAAATGCCTGGTCATGGCGAGGCATGACGACCCCACCAGAAATTCATGAATTGTCCTAAGTGTTTACAAAGCTGGGTATTAGCTGGCTTGAGAGGAATCTGTTTTGGAATCTCTCTCACCCTAACTCAGACATGCCATCAGAAGGCCATTGTCCTCCAAAAGACAAGGGGTCTCCTGAAGAGGCTGCGACCATATATGGACACAAAGTGGCCTGTATGGAGAGACCCGTTTGTTATGGTAGTCCCTTTGTGTCAGGCACTTGTCCCTGTCTTTGAAGTCACATCCACTTTTGTCCCCGCCATACCGAATGTTTTCTTTTGCTCCAAGGATTTGGAACTGGTCCTGGTGGTGGGGAGAGGGAGTTTTTAATCAAATTTTGCAGGGGATTAAGGGCTTACACACCTCGTCTGGTCTTACTTCCCGGGCCTTACACCACACAATCTTGGGGTTATCTGGTCCCTGCGTTGACAAAGAGCATTGACATCCGTGCATTGAAGGTGCAAAGGAGTGATTATGGGAATTTGGAATAATGACAATGTTTTGAGCTACACCCTGTAGCTGGGGATCTGGCATAGAAAAGGTCCTTCCCTGAGGGGGAATTCTTTACCTATGAAAAGGCCCAGACTCAATGATGCTTGAAATGTCTTCATTGAGGGAAAAACTTTTTGAATTAGACTCCCTCTGATGAGGCTGCAAAGAACTAAACAAGTCTTGTATCATTTCGAAAGATTTAACATTTCTCAGGAATTGAGCAAATCTCAGTGACTGTCCTGTGCGTTGGCTATGTCCCGTATTTTGCTGGGAATGTCCTGTGAGACCCAAACTGCATTGTTAGTGCTTCAGGGCTCTTTAAAGATGACAGCTGTTTTAGTGGCTGGGATCTGAAGCAGCAGCCCTCCGAGGGGACATGTTGTCATCCCGCTGTATTGGCACTTCTTTTTCCCACAGAAATCAGGAGCTTAATCTAATTAATTGTCAGGGAGCTTGTGTTTGGGGAATAAAGAGGCACAATATGAAACATTCCTGCCGAGGGGACTAGGCCAATAAAGAAGGAGCTCGCTGTCACTCTCGGAATCGATAATAAAGTGAAATACCTCCCTTTGTATTCCGACGGTGCTCAAGTTTCTCCAAGGACTGATGTTGCCTCGGCTAGCCTGAGAATGCATACTAAACAGGCAGCAGGTAAAAACAATGATGGAAAATTAAGGGGACCCCAGGAGCTGCCCCGCCTGCCCTGTTCCAGGCTGGCGCCGCTTGGGGTAACTGTATCGTCAGCCCACCTTATCGGAATAACTGTTTTTCATGGGCAGTTGATCGCTGAAATGGACTGTGGAGGCCCTGCCGCTGGCAGTCGCCTGCTCGCAATTTGGTATTCGACATGCACCGCTGTCACACCTCGCGGCAACCTTTGAAGGCAGGCTTTCCGATAGAAGGGGCGAGACCTCGGAGCGCTCGTTGAAAAAGTATCTCCGAAAGTCCCGAGACATGTCTACCAGAATTCAAAACATCAACAACACTAGCAGCATGCATTCCTCAGTAGAGTCGTCATAATTTGCAATATGCTTCTGTGTGCAAAATTAAGTTGACTAATGAACATATCTTGGAGAGGAAGTCTTAAAACTTGTCCCTGATACGAAGTGATCTTAAGAAGCACCTGGGTCTCCTGGAGGAGAGAAGGCCGTCTCTAAGGTTCATCAGGCTCATCAGGACGTAGCAGACTGTTTAATTAATCAATAGGAGGTCGTTTTTCAGGAAAGACACCTTATTTTTCACAGTTTCTTGACTGCGGGATGGTTGTTCCTAAAGCGAGGCAGCCCTGTGGTTGATTGATGGTCTCTACCGGCAGACACTTGCTGTCATGGCAGAAAACTTCTGCCACTGAGAAGACCGCCAGGTCTCGTGGGGAACCCTTTAGGCACTTTCCTTGCATCTGCAAGACTGTCGAAGACATTTTTCATTTCAAGATGATTGTGATTGATGCAAGTTGGATTGTACATGCTGTCATATGTACCAATGGATGAATTAAGTAATGGTAAATTTGACAATTTTTAATAACAGCATCACCAGTGCAGCCAGAAGCTATGAATTTTCTTAAAGCTTTTATTCACATCAAGGCTGTCTGTATAGGAGTGCTACAGTAAATAAAAGTACAGTTTAAAACTATGTTGTTCTTATAAAAACTTATCAGCTATCATAGACAAGCACAGCATATTATTAAGTCCTGGAGAGTATCCAAACAATTGTCTTTTTTGACATCACCATTTTACCTTCTCTGTCAAATTAGTTCAGTCAATGTGTGATACGTTTTCAAAGTTTCAAACTCTGGCCAGTCTGTGAAACAGGTGGTTTCTTCTCACTGATAACAAAATGTTCCTGCACAACGGGTTATTTCAGTTTATTCCTTAGGTTTGGAAGTCGCACATTTAACTAACCACCTCTGCATGTTTCTAACTTGTTGTGACAAACAAGGAGGCCAAAATAAATCACACCTGTCCAATCGAATCTGTCAAAATTCTGTGAAAGGGCACAGACTTCTCGTCACAAAACTGTCACCATCCATTTGTTAAATACGCCTGTTTGAGGCTTCCATAGGAATGCTGTATCGGATTGAGAATTAATAAAGAAAGGCAAACAAAGATTTGCACCTGCTGGAAGACTGTGAAACAGGTGATTACATGTTGCTGGGAACGTTCCACTGCCCGATGGCCCCGGGGTACGGGGCAACTGGAACTATAGAGGTGTCAAGCCTCTGCCAATCAGATCCCCCGGTGCTTTGTCAGCAGCGCAGGATTGATTGAGACTTGCGTGCCAAGCGGAGCCTGTCCCCCGGCAGCGACATGACAAGTTATGTCCATCAGATAAGACGAGCCCCGAGGCCAGACGACTCGGGTTCCATCCTACCTGTTTGTGGTGGTGTACCTGTGGTGGTGGGAAGGGACGGGTAATTAAAAAGAGCTTAAAAATAGAATTCCCAGAACCTAAGAGTCATCATCATGTTGTAGTGTAGACTGTGAGAAAAGCAGTACTGTACAAGAATGCAGAGCTTAGTCTGAACTCGTGCGTATGACAAAAGGAGAAGTGGAAATCATTGTTGGGACTCCATATAGGAAGAACTAAAGTCTTAAATATACCATACAAAGGAGGTAAAAATATCAGAAAATAGACAACTGGTCACTGGATGGGGTCAGTTGATGTAATGCGTCATCAAAATTAATGCACTTTGCTTGACATGAGCTTATACTACACACAGCAAAAGGGTCACTTTTCTCAAGTTTTTCATTCAGTTACCGTTGCTCTGATCACTACATGTACATTTGGTGAAACAGTGCCTGAAAGGAGACATTGGCAATAATCAATGGAGTAGAAGATTTCATTTCTTGTTACTTTCACTGTGGAAAATTCAATTTTTTTTCCATTTGAAATTATCTATTGGGCTGTACATGAAAGTCAGAGAAGTTGTTCTGTTGACTTGTGCCTGTTGGTCAAAAAAAATTCTTAGTGAAGTTTACGTGGAATTATGCAGAAAATTTTGTCAATAAATGGCACTAAAATCTAAATAAAATTAGCAGAATTTAACCATTATACTTTTTATAGGTGTGCAGTTGTGTGTTAATAGGTGTCATCCACAATAAACTGCAATATGTACATGTAAATATATCAGTTTTTAACAATGATATTGTGGAGTAATCGTAAACCTATCCTTGCTTATTTTCATTACTGTATTTCAAAATGCCGAGATGCCTAGGAATTTGACCCTTGACTGCAGAAAGCACTTTCTCGTCCCAATTAGAGTCTTAACTTAAAGGTAATGTAGTCTCATAATATGTTTCTTACATAGCAATAGATGCCATACTTTGTGCCTTGTACAATTGTTATGCAATAAGTTTCTTTTTGTATTTATATAATCTTTTCATTTTCTTGTCATCATGCTCATTTTCTTACTGAAAACTGTTGACAGAAGCTTCAAGTGTTAAACTTTTAACCCAGAAGTTACCCAAACTTCCAGTTTCCGTACCACGTTTAAAATGGCCCACCGGCGTGATCTTTTCAGTAACAGTCATGGGTGCAGGCGTGGAACGGAACTGTTTGCCACCAGCACAATTATGATAATCTGACATTAGGGAAGAAATTGAGGTGTGTGACACGAGGTTGAACCCAGCAAGGGGGCCGGGGACACGCCTTATTAGGCAAGGCACCTGAACACGGCTTCATCACACTCCAATAGTCTGCCTTTTGTTTGCTGAAGTCAGCTAGTCACACTATCATTAGCTCACCTCTGGTAATTTACTACCCCCAAGACAATAGATTCAGGTGGAAGAACTAACCTCCGGATGTCACCAAAGATAATTTGATGTGCTGTATAATGTCACTAGAGGTGTTCACTATTATAGGTGTGTCTGTTTTATTCTCCCAAAACAAAATAGAAAAGTGTATGAACTAGTAGTTGATAGAACAGGAAGGAAAGCCAAACTGGATCATGTGAAGATTTTCTTGTGTTGGCTTTAATCTGTATGGGATACAAGTATATTGAGACTAGTGACTTACTAAAATCATTTATCGTATCTAAATTGATAACTTACATGATACCAAAGACGAAAATAGATAAATCATGAGATTGACAAGTACAGACAGTAATTGCATCACTATTATTAACCAATGGCAGGTAAGGAGGAAATGTGACAGGAAACATGAAGGACTTTTCCAGGAAGCGTCAACAGTGGGATAGGGGAGTGGCAGAATGTCAACAGACAGTTAGGAACAATACTGCTTCAAGTTTCAAGGGTGCATGTTTAGGAAAGGGGGCAAGTACAGCAAAGAATGATTTGGGTTGCTCATGTACAGTAGTTGAATGAGTCAAATGACAGGTCCTGTCAATATTGTTTTAAAATAGGATAGAAGACTGAAGTTCATTTCAAAGTGTATTTTAATCATTGGAAATTATGGAACTTAAGATAAGATCTCACCTACTCTGACAACCTTTGACATATCACAGTCAAGATGGCTGCAAGAGAACTTCTGCACTTTGAACTGCAGTTGTTGCGACTTAAAGCTAGTGAACAACATTGAACAGGGTTTGGAGGAAAACTTGAATCTGACACATTGACTATTGTTACTCCCAGAGATTTTGTGTACCAACATGGAGACTTATCCCCCAGACCTTGCTTTTATGTTGATTTCAAGCTCTGCATTCACTTTGTCCTTTCTTAAATCCGAAAACCATTAAGTGTGATTGATGTGGCCTTAACTAAACTTCACTGGGTGTGGCATCGTGCAGACAGGACAGTCAGTCAGGTAGAAGTTAAAGGATTTGTGTCCCTTTCATGATGAGGGTCTGCTTCGTTTCAACCAGGTGTCGCTACAACCCCTCCCGACATTGTCCATGAAAGAGACGTTCTCCTCAACAAAGACAAGATTGGTGATTGCCTAAGCCACGTTTTAAGAACCCTGATTAAAGCTGACGTCTTGTGCAATAATGGAGGATTATGGTAGACTGGATTGTATAAGCGTGATCTTGTCACCTGTACGTTTGCCCCAGCTGTCTGTCAACAGCTCCTATTGTGGTCGAACAATGACAGGAGAAACCTGCTCATCTGGGACAAATGCAACTGTCAATCAAGTTGTGACACAATCAAATTCTCAAGATTTCCATTGGCACAAAATTCAGACTCTCACAATACTGCAGTCTCTTTAGTTTGGACACTATTCAAAAGTGCTGTTGGTATTTTTGTACCTAGGCTTAGACTTCTGGAAATAGTTTAAAGGAAAATTTTGCGAAACTTGGTGGGATGTCGTCTAACTACAGGATTCATTTAATCCTTAGTTCATGTAATTTGACTTCCAACTGGCCATAACAACCACCTTTTACCGGTTCCAATATTTTTTCCATAATTGCAAGCATTCAGCAACCTGCCCAAGAAGACCACTTTACCTTTGGTCCCCCGGAGTGGCCTTCTTGGGCAGGTTTTACTATACCTTGCTATGTAGGAAAGTGACAGATTTGGTTTACCTGCACATCATCTGTAAGCCTTCCAGCCTTAAAACTTCTCCCTGCTATCTAACCACATAGCCAATACAAATTTAGTGCCAAATTGCTATCTTAGCTTGCTGAAGGTTAATCAATGTACTAGTAATACTGCCTATGCTAGAAAAGTAGTGTTGACAAGCAGGCCACCCTCCCTTGCTTATGTCAAGTCCTTGTTTCTCTGGTCTTGAGCCATGATATCGATGGCTACTTGCGTGCCTCTGTCTCTCATTGTCCAGTTCTCACTCCCTGCCTTTCTGCTGACATTCTGGTTACTTCTCCCCCAGAGGAAGTCAGCATGTTTCCTGTGTGGCGGCCGAGACCACCAGTCCTCCACCTGCCCAACTGCCGTCTGCCACTTCTGCTCCAACCCTGGACACCAGACCCGCTACTGTAAGGGCCGGTACCGCTGTGCTGAGAGTGTCTGCCTCCACTGTCACTGGAAGGGACATCTGGCAAGGGTAAGTTTGTTCTATTTGTTGATTTCAAGATGTCAACCCTGAGATCAGGTAAGGTAAGGTTTGAACTCACACCGGGAAGGACCCTCGCTCTTTTGACTAAGTGTGGTGAGATCTTTTACTTGAGGTGTGGCTCTCCTCAAACATGGCTCCTCTGCTTTATGTCCTATCCAAGAACACGTCCCCAACTGAAGCAAGGTACTCATTTTCACCTGAGTCAAGTGAGGAAGTATTAGGTGTTAATTAGAATCCCACAACACAACACAACACAACATGGGCCTACCATTCAAACCAAGAATCTTCAGATTCTGAGTCAACAGACCTAACTATAAGACCACCTTACCACAATGCCACCTTTCAATTTTGTCATACTCTACATGTACTGTTACTATAAGTCCTGGCTATTATCTTTCTTTGTACGAGTTACTTTTTAACTGTTTGGAAATTGCAGAAAATATATGTGTAGGAAATATGTTATGATTAAAGTTCCAAAAAGAAATAGGAAGACAGTATTGGCCAGTAACAAAAAAAAAAAGACAGACAATTTTAAGTTAGCTGATACAGCCTTTATTGGGTCAAGGCCAAGCCACACACTCAAATGCAAGAATCAAGAAATAAATCTACAGAATATCTTCTTAGTGTAGCCAGTCCAGCAAAAAAACATAGCATGTGAGAGGCATAAGATAACTACAAACTTCAAAGTAAAGTTAGATACGATGAGGACACATGCTAATGTTGTTATAGTGATATTTCTTTGAAACATGATAATTCCATGGAATAAATGCATGACAGTATCATCATCACGCCAAGTGATCGTCCTTTCTGTCAAGTGCTCAAGACGGATCGCACGGCTTCGAAACAAGCGGGCGCAGACTTATCTCACACACTTTTTCATCCCTCCAATTTCTTTCCTATTCCTTGATTAAAAACCTGCGGCAACAGTGCAAGCCATGTGTAAAAACATTCACCATTTGATGAATACCGCTCACTTCATGGGCAGCTACTGAGAAATTAGCAATAAAGTGATGTATTTACATCTGTAGCCATTCCTGTGTAATCGTGCGTTTGGGATTGCCGTTTGATGACTGGCGCACAATACCACTCGGAGGCTGCGAGGACTAACGAATTTCAGATTTTATCGTGTGTGTTAATAGCTCCTCCATCAAGTCTGACATGTGTTGATACAATGCCTTCACTTTAAGAGGGAGTGGAAGTTAATTCTAACATATGGAGCTACTGGTCCAGGTATATATCAAAATATCGCCTCTGAGTTATAGCTGGCTGAGCGTTATAAATAGTTGTATGATTGACTGGTAATCTCTTTGCTAAAGTAAATTTTGAAAGAGTAATAAACGAAGTCTCTTTCGCAGAAGTTTCCCTCATCAATTTGAATTGGAGGCATAAATCTCAGTAGGGACGTCCACTTTAAACTATGTTCCATGTGTTTTGCCACAAGAAGTGGTGCTTTCTCTCTTGTAAGTAGAGCCTTCACTCATTGTAAAGGCATTTTCTTGTAAGATTAGAATACCAGCAGATAGATAGTTAGGAATATTAATGCAATTAAAGTTTCCTTGTAATCATGGGGACAAATGACACCTGTCAACAACAGCTAAATGACCCTCAATTAGAACAACCTCCCACTTGCTGTTAAATCTACTGGAGACGTCAGTGCCAATTTCAACCACAGTCCAATTATTGTAGGTCTGATCCAAGAGGTCACCTACATACCAGTCAACTGGTAATCCCTTTCCAGAAACTTGTTCTTAAGAGATCACTTTAGATGAAGCGTAAGTCTTCCTTTTGCTGCCAGAAAACCTGTATTAACTTCAGGGAAGTACGTGAAAAGCACTTCAATGTTATTCATGCTTTGAAAAGCATTGGTGGACTATTGGAAATATACATCCATAGCCCTGAGTTGGTCATGTATTTGAATGTGAATTTGAATGATATTGTATAGATGCCAGATAAATCTAAGATACAGTTACAAAAGGATGGGTTGTGTATGATATTTCTTCATCTTTACATGGCATAATTAATGGCATAGTTCGTGTCCCCCTCAACAACAAAAAATATATTTTCATATAGCTTTATGCATGATTTAGACCATACAGATCCAAAGTTCCATTACCAAGGCAAGAAAAAGCATGTACATGTAGTCATCAGGGCCATGATAAATTAAAGACTTACAAGTTAAAGCTTGTCACAGGCAGAGTGATGTCACTGAAGAAAAGCAGTGTACATTTGTGCTGATCTTGTCCAACCCCCTTTGATCAAGTCTAGCGGACATCTCCCAGACCTTTAAGTAGGGATTTTCCCTGTTCAAAGCAGTTTGGAGATTGTGGAGTTTGGGTCATGCCCTCATGGGAGCTGTGGCTTGACCACTAAGCCCCTGGCTTCTATTTGTTTCTGTAATTTGCCGCTACTGACTTGTGAACCCTACTAATTATCTCATTACTAAAATTGAAAACAGGTTAGAAGACCCTGGTGTGGGTTCCTCTGTGGCCGGAAGTACAGGAAAAGCTGGTAAATCTCTCCTCAGAAGAACCATTGAAGACGTTCTAAAGCATCTCCTTATTTTAATGAAGGGGACCACAATGGTGTGATTAGGGGGAAGGTGAGGCAGCTGTGCAAGCCGTCCAGCGTTGTCCCTCACTCAGTGCCTGTTGGACCACCTGTTAGCACTAGTCGTCCTGAGTCAACTGCCCGTCCGAAAACGCTGAAGCAGAAAATCTCTTGCATTGATACTGGGCGCTTGATAAGTTGTAGAGTTGAGCCCCTGACTTCACACCAACGTCGCTCGGCCCATTACCCTGCTATGTGGACTCGTGTGCTCTGCTCAATGCATAATTATGGCAGGGAGGAGGACCTCTAGGAACAGAGAGCTGCAAGTCAAGGAAGCATGAACTATTAATTGGGGGAAACTGTTTAAACTGTTTATGGGCAATTGCTTTGGAATATTTCTCTTCTCCTGGCATAGCCCCATGCAGGGGATACCGTCGCTGGTCACAGAACACCCCATACAAACGCAGCGGCCTGGGAGAAATTTATTGTCGCAGGCTGCGACACCAGAGAGGGGCCAGTGCCTTCGTCCGTTTTGCTCGTCCACACATGCAATTGTCCCCGTGGGTTATCAAAATCTGACTTTCAACATTGTGTCGAAGCAACGGGTGTATCTGTGGTTTTTCCCCTCAGTGCTGTTGTACAAATTGACAGTAATTGAAAGGTACTTCTGATACAGCCATTTGAGATGTTGTACCTTTGTCTCTGAGCGGAAAGGAAAGTGGACAAGTGAGCTGAAGTAGGGCCGAGCAGCGCAGGTTTTCCTCTTGTAGTGCATCAAGATGCCTCTTGAGGGACAATATGCCAAACAGCTGTATTTGCAGAGGACTCGATGTGCTTTGTATGGAGATCATCATTGTTACACCCTGCATCCCCGCAGCCTCACCCTTAATGCCTTCAAGCCAAGCACTTAATTAGTAACCAAAGAAATGTGCCTCCTGAGCTTAATTAAGGGCTATTAATACCCACTTGGAAAATATGTGTCAATACTCTGTGGTGAAACTTGGTTAGCGTATTGTGCGTTGCCACTGGGGTGTGGATGTGTGTGTTTTGCTGGCATTGTTGGTCAGGAAAAGTGTAATGTTTTCAGCATGGAGGGGAAAAATGCCTGCATACGGATAGGAGGGTTAACCGTTTTGGAGTGACAGTGCAGCCAGTCGTGGAGTGTCGTTGAGTTTTTTTTCTGTAAGTTTGGTGAGTGGCCCCCAAGGGAGTCGTAAGGGGAGAGGGTATTAAGATGCTGCTGTAGACGAGATGGCACTTCACAGCAAAGTGGGTAAGGAAACAGTCTAATTTAATGGTTGAGGAAGCAAGCGGAGTATCACCGCATAATGAAAGGTGTCCTGTCATTGGGTGCCTATAATGGAGCAGGTGGCAGTATGCCATGCTACGTAAATGTCCCTGAGTGGGGGGGGGGGTCCTCCTTGTTGTGATACCCCTTGCCTGCTGCTTACCCTTGGGTTTCAATAGAACACACAGACCTGACCTGTTCAGATTTGCACAGGATCTCTGTTATTTACCAGGACGGGATCCCCTGCCAGATCCAAAGGATTCTGATGTCCTCTTTGAACTTAATTAGAATCATCGTCGCCGGGTTGCCAAGTTACGCTGGCCATCAATCATTTTCAAATCCTGGCATTAATGTAATCAATAACAGTCTCCCAGCTTACAACATTTCATCCCACTTTAATACAATTTGGCGACCCGGGGCACAGATTGCAGGCTTGTATATAAGCATCACCTTTAGAGCAAAATAATACCAGAGTGTATCAGAGTGTTGGAAGAACCTAGCACATTGGCAGAATAGCACTTTGGCAGAACATCTCTTTTAAGGCCGTATACGTTTAAGGATAACATCTCTCTATAGTTTTCTGTTGTGTCGGAAAAGATATCCTCTGCAACATTAACCAAACATCCAATGAAAATCTTGAGCTGAAGAACCAAAGTATATTAAGAAGATTTTATGTACCAAGAAGCAAACTTTGGCTACTGCAAAAAACGGCAAAAATAAAACCACTGCAAAAGTTTCTACATTTACAGTAACCACGATTGGTCATGTATCATTTTGTGTACTCTGTATGCCTATCATTTCTGTCAAAACATCATTCTTCTTTACCCATTATCCACATATCTGTGGGCCTGAAAGAAAGAAGTGTTTGAGTAAGAAAACTCAGTACTTGTGCTGAAGTACTTCCCCTCCCCTACCCCCTGCAGGGCGGGACTGTTACAAGTGTACTTTGTGGTAATCTTCCATGGAGAGCTCCCTAATCCCCCTCATGAGCTGTGATCTGTTAATGAAGTCTGCAGAGAGTGATAATATACTCAGCAGGGTTAGCTGGACGCCAGTGTTGTTTCTGGAAAAAGAACCACACTTGCAATTTCAGGGTGGCAAAACGAAAATTTAAAATAATCTGTCTGATATCAACATTTCTTAGCACATTTTT